ACCGCTGTCTCTCTCTCCCTCTTTCTCTCTCTGGTCAAATAAATAATAATAATAATAAATTAAATAAATAATTTTAAGAGTTATTTGTTTGTAATTTTATTTATTATCATTGTTCTTCAATTTTGACCAGAGAGAGACAGAGAGAAAGGGAAAGTGAGAAAGCAAATCGCCAGGTCCAGGACTTGAACCATGGTCAGCCATGTAGGAATCCAGTGCCTCAACCACCATGCGACCTGCTGGTCACATAAATAAATAATTTTTTACAAAAAGAAAAATGTGTCTAATTAAAAAAAGAAAAACCTGGGACCAGCAGTTGGTGTAATGGCTATGTCGCTGGATTCCCATGTAGTTGACTGTAGTTCAAGTCCCAGACCTGGTGGTTTAAACTCACACCAGGTATGTGTGTATGCGTGCCCAAGATCCGGAGAGGAGAAGAAAGGAGAAGAAATTGCGGCATGGCCATACCTGGGGGGTGATTTCTTGCTTTCTATCTCTCTCTCTCTGTTTTTCTGGCAAGCACCCTGTAGCAAAAACCTCTCCCCACAAAAAAAAAAGAAAAAAAAAAAAAACATCTCTCTCTTTTGTTCTTTCTGTCTCCTGTCTGTCTCTCTCCAACAACAAAAGGATGATTTCTGAAAGTTATTTGGTTACAGGAAATAATAGCATAGCAATTTTTTTTATTTCTTTTTTAAAATAACAAAAAAAATCTTTCCTAAGGGGAAAATAACAGAACTATAGCAAGCTATAAACTGGTCATTGGAAAAGTCATGACACATTTTTTGCATAGAAAAACAGAAAAATACATCATGATTTTTCTGACAACCCAGTATCTTCCCCAAGAGTCTTAAAATGAAGTAGATTCTAATTAATATACCTCACCATAGCTTTTTTTTTCTTTTTCTTTTTTTTTTCTTTTTTGGAGAGGTTTTTGCTATAGGGTACGTTCGCTCGCCAGATAGACAGAAAGAGACAGAGACAGAAAGCGAGAAATCACCCCCCAGGGGGAATGGCCACGCCACAATCCCTTCTCCTCCGTTCTCCTCTCAGAATCTTGGGCACGCACGCACACGCACCCGGTGTAAGTTTAAGCCACTGGGTCCAGGACGCGAACCGCGGTCGACTACATGGGAGTCCAGCAACATAGCCATTACGCTATCTGCTGGTCCCTACCTCACCATAGCTTTAAGTAACAGCTCTTAAATACTTTGGACTAACACTATCATCAAGTTAACAGAGGAAAAATTGAAATAAACTCTAAAGCGTTGACTTAAAATCATGAGCCACACAGATGCAAGTCTAAGCATTAAAACATAATCCTGAGCCAGCCCTGTAGCCCAGAGGTTAAAGGAGCCAGGTCCCATATGGCTGACCACACACGGTTCCAGTCCTAGCCTCAGTAGCATGGTTCAATCCAGCCAGGAACATTTTTGTGCATGCCCAAAATCCTGACAGGATAGAGATATGGAGGAGAAGGAATTGCACCCAATTTGAGGGAGCTTTCTCCCTCTGTCTCTGTCTCTGCCCCTCTCTGAAGAATATATGTGTCTTCTAACAATTAAAACAAAACCATAATTCTAATGCCTCTGGGCTCCTACAATGTGAGAGAAAGGCCCCAACCCAGGCCCACCACTATCCCCTGTCTGAGACTCATAGAGAAGTTATTCTACTTTCTGGCATTTAAACCTAATAGAGGGAAATCCCCCTGACCTGCTAGGACTTCCTGGGGACTGCTCTTCTCCATCGGGCAACACCAGCACCAGCTTCCAAAATACCCGCTCTCGCCTCCCAGGAAGGTGCTCAGCTACAAGGGATGGCAGGTCCAGAGGCGCCCATGCTGCGTCACTGAAAGGGGTAGACCACTATGAGTTAGCCACTGTGTGAGCCTAGGCAGGAAAAGCATACACAGCAGGGCAGGACAAACCTCAGCAACTGCTGGTGGAAGTGCTGAACCTTCATCTGGTGAGCCGTCTTGTTCCTGAGCCACTTTAACCTACAAAGAAAAGGAAAATGACACTATGCCTACATGAGGCTTGCTCATGCCCACAGAAGGAAATTAGCACAGTTTGAGTCCCAGGCCCGGCAGCTTAAAACACACAGGGCACATATACACACGTGCCCAAAATCTCTAGAGGAGAATTGAGGAGAAGGGATTGCAGTGTGGCCATCCCCCTGGGG